CTCAGAAAGCAGGGGCTGGAGAAGGTTTAATTGTTTTGCAAAACAGAGTGTGAAGAATTGGGAGCTCTTGGATCCCATCCTCCGGAAAGAAGGAGTGGTGAGGCAAAGGAAGGAGTGAGAATAATGAGAGGCTGTGGTACAAGTCTAGAATGCTCTCTAGGGTGAAATGGCCAGGAATCAGCCTCTGTACTGGAAGGGCCAAAAGCATGGCATCACTAGCAGTCTGCGTGAGTGTGAGACACACTGCTCCTCCTTTCCCACCTTTTATAAAGCCTGCTACTAATACACATGACATGTGTGAAAGGGCACTGGGGACTGTGGTTGGCAGAATAATGGCCCCAAAGATGGTCATGTCCTAATGGTCATGTCCTGGAATCTGTGACCACCTTAGGCCACATGGCAGAAGAGGTTTGGCAGGTGTGATTATGTTAAGGATCTTAACATGAGAAGATTATCCTGGATTGGCTCAATGTAATCACAAGGAGCCTGGAAAAACAGCACAGTGAAGTAGAAGGGGAGAGGGAGAAGGAGTGTGCCCATGGGAGAAATCACTTGGGAAGATGTTTTTGGTTTTGAAGTTGGAGGAAGGCAGCAGACTGACTATGAGTTGGGGAACGCAGGGGAAGGGATGGCCCTCTAGGGCCTCTAGATGAGAACAGGGCCAAGCCCACACCAACGCCCAGCAGGATCTATGTCAGGCCTCTAAAACGGTAGATCAATAAGTCCATGTTATCTTAAGCCACTGAGCATATGGGAATTTGTTCCAGTTGCAACAGAAAACTAATACCAGGTGTAAGCCAGGGAGAAGGGTTCAATACAAAGACGGGAAATGTAAATAAGATTTAGGGGCAGCTACTAAACTAGTGGGTTGGTGTGGGGGTTGTAATAGAATTTACAGTTAGAAAGGTCAGCTTGCGTCAGATGGTGGGGAGCCTTAAATGAGAGATTAATGAGTTTAGACACTCTCTTTAGGCCATAGAAAGTCCCTAACAGGTTCAAGCACTGAATGATGAAATGAACAGAAATTTCTGAAGTGCAGACCATAAAAGCTCTAAGTACTGTAACTCTGAAACCATGCTGTGTAGAGGCAGATGTCTGGTAGACTCGGATGCATGAGCATAAACTACAGGTCCTGGGATTGTTGCCTTTTGATTATCTAGAGCACTTTGCTTCTTTACCTGCTTCTTGCAATCTGGCTTTTCACTGAAGATGGGGATTTTGTACCCAAAATAATAAAACAGAAACACTAAATCAACACAATTCTCCTCACAGAAGTGCCTGTAATTCCAGGTCACTCTGGGAGAAGGTGGGGAGTATCCTGACTCCCAGGCCTGGACTCTTCAGGTGGAGGATGGAAGGGTTGGAATGGGGAATAAATGAGCTCATCAGCTAGGTGACCCCGGTATTATGTCATGGACTGTGTGGTAGCTTCAAGGATGAAGGGAAGGGCCTGGATGGGAAAGATCAAGGGCACGTGTCTGGGAGACCCAGCACTCCCAGAGGCAACATGCTTGTCCCAAAGGAGAGCAGGCATTAGGGGAAACAATACACAGGCCCCTCCTCAAGTGCAGTAATCCACAGACAGCAGGGATTGGACGCTTCAGGGTTCTAACACTAAAGATTATACTGCTAACAGATTCCAGTAAATGCAAACCCAATATGCAAGCAATGCTTTCACTCAGAGGGCCCAGTCTTGGATTAACAAAAAACAAATTCCTTATGAGTCAGAATTGACTCATAACCCATTGGCCCTCCAGTGAGATTTCTGAGACTGTTAATTGCATGGGAGGAGATTGTCCAGCTGGTGGATTTGAACCAGCAGAGAGACGTGGTCTTTGGATTAGCAGGGCAACTCCTTGTGGACCACAAGAGCTCCCCGGCGCTAACAAAGTGAGAAAATGAATGAAGTGATGGAGCAAGAAGCAGAGACCTAGACTGGGGCTTATTGCCAGTGATCCCAGGAGCAAATATATCCCAGTCTGTTAACCTCCTCATGACCCTGCTTCCAGGAAACTAGTAAAATCAAAAGCCAAACAGCTCTGTGAGGGCTCATAATGAATGTTTGTATAGGACCTTGTGGTTCTCTAAGCACGCCTTTCAATTGTCAGGGTAGTATTTCTTAAACAGAAACACTGTAATTATGCATACATTATTACGATACACAAAGTGATTTAAGCAGTAAAAAGACTTTGATGAATTAGTAGTTTGGGTTCCTACAGTTTTGCTGCTGATATTAAAAGGCTTCTTAAAATCCTCAGATTTGCAGAAAAAAAAATTCTCCCAGATTTTTTATTTCCTAACTTCAAACCTGAATGTGTTACTGCTTTCTGGACACTTCACTCCAAATTCTTACTCTAATCTCCAACTCAATGTACTCAATATTGAAGCTCATGTATCTTTATTCCTAAATGAATTCTCTTTTATATTCTATGTTTGGGTAAATACCCTTCTACTATTCATTTGTTTGTGCTCCAACTTTGAAAACCATTCCGATTCTTCTCTCTTTTGTCTTAAATTACTTAAATTACTCAATAACTTCAACTACTACTGTGTTGTTGTTATGTGCCATCGAGTTTGTCGACTCATAGCGACCCTATGTACAAGAGCCCTAAACCCTGCTCTATCCTATACCAACCTTACTGTCTCTGACATACCTCCTTCCTCCAATCACTAAATTGATCCATTTCATCGAGGGTCTTCCTCTCTTGCACTATCTCTCCACCCTTTCAATCATGATGTCCCTCTCCAAGGACTGGTCCCTCCTTGCAGCATGCCTAAAATATGTCAGACAAAGCTTCAGAGTACTTGCCTCCAAGGAGCAGCCTGGTTTCACCCTCTCCAGGATAAACTTGTTTGTTCTCCTACCAGACCATGGTATATTCAACTCTCTTCTCTAGCATCACAGCTCAAAAGCATCAATTATTTTTCTATCATCCCTAGTCACTGTCAAGCTTTCTGATGCATAGCACACATTTGTGAAGACTATGGCCTGGATCAGGTGCACCTTAGTCTACAGCCTGATGTCATTGCTCTTCAGTACTCTGGAGAGGTCCCTGACAGCTGACTTTCCCAATGCAATTAGTCTCTTGATTTCTTGGCTGCTTGTAGAACCAAGTAAACTAAAACTGTTAACAATCTCACTCTCTTCATCATCCACACTGATGTTACCAATTGGCCCAGTGGTGAGGGTCTTTGTTTTCTTGATGTTGAGCTTCAATCCATATTGAAGTCTGCAGTCCTTGACCCTGCAGCAAGCTCTTCAGGTCTTCCTCAGTTTCAGCAAGCAGGGTTGTATCATCTGCATAACTCATGTTGTTGATGAATCTTCCTCCAATCCTGATATCACATTCCTCCTCATACAGCCCAGCCTCCTGGACAATCTTTTCTGCATATAGATTCAAAAGGTATGGAGACAGAATATCTGTGACAGACACTGTTCCCAATTTTGAATCATTCAGTGTCTCCTTGCTTTGTTCTGACGACTACTTCCTGGTTCAAGTATAGGTTTCACATAGGCACGATCAAGTGTTCTGGGATTCCCATTCTTCTCAGAGTCAGCCACAGCTTCTTGTGATCCACACAGTCAAAAGCCTTTGCATAGTCAATGAAACACAGATAGATATTCCTCTGATACCCTCTGCTTTCTGCCAAGATCCATCAGCATTAGCTCTAATATCCCTAGTACCATGACCTCTTCTAAACCCAGCTTGCACATCTGGCCGTTCTCTGTTAACTTGTTGCTCCAATCATTTTTTGGATAATTTTCAGTAGAATCTTGCTTCAATCTAACACGCAATCAAGATGCATTAATAATAATGGTGACTGGAATAAAAAAGTTCGGAACAGGGAAGAAGGATCAGTGGCTGGAAAACATGGACTTGGTGACAGAAATGAGGCTGGAGATAGAATAATAGAATTCTGCTCGTTCAATGATTTATTCATTGCAAATACCTTTTATAAGAAACACAAATGCAGGCAATACACATGGATTTCACCTGATGGTATGCATAGGAATTAAATTATATCTGTGGAAAGAATCACTGGAAAAGCTCAATACCAGCTGTGAAAACCAGGCCAGGTGCTGATTGGGGAACAGACCACCAACTATTCCTATGTAAGTTCAAGCTGAAGTTGAAGAAAATTAAATCCACAGTAACTAAAACTTGACCTTAAGTCTATCCCACTCAAATTTCAAAACCATCTCAGGAACAGGTTTTAGGCCTTGAACACCAATGAGTGAAGACCAAAT